TAGATTTGTTGTTTGCAATAATGGAAATAATTAATTTTCACCCAATCAATAAATTGAAAATAATTATTTTATTATAAGACATATCTCAGTAATTATAGATATTACTGTCTTATCAACGATAGAAATGATTCAACACAATGTAAATATACCAGAAGAAAAATAATTCCTTTACCAGTAGAATGGAAAGGGTTATTTTTCAATTTATTTATTATCCGTATTAATGGAAAAGTTGGAGAAGTTCATGGAGGTAGGCCTAGGCCCACTGGGGCTGCAGTGCCAAGGGAAAAAATGGAAAAGTAATATTAATATGTGAAATTAACAATTTTCAAGAATAGTAAAATATATATTGAGTTTCTTACCCGACGTTTGTGTATGAATGAGCAGCATGAAGACGCATCAAAAGTAAGTGGTGTTACGGACTGTTCACTTCATCACTTGACCTATATATGTTATTTCTCTCCCCTTCTTCTAGGACGAAAAGAATCAAATTCTGACAACAAACGCTTGGTTGAATTTGGTAAGTGACTCTATAGAACGCAAATGGGCCGGCTCTCTCATCTTCATGCTGAGAAATATGCTCTGGGTCGGTGAGGACTCGCACGGTGCTGAACAAAATCTGGTTTGCAGACCAAGCTCTTGCATTTCTTAAATCAACACACATAAAAGTAATCTTCTGTTTACAAACCAACTTAAAGCATTTGTTACTGATTTAATCTACTGTCCAGTCGTATTTACAGAAGGGTTCAAATTCCGTAGACATGTCTAGGAAGGTATAGTAAATGTGATTTTATATGACAAAGTTTATTTAGGAAAAAGAGACGTTATGAATAGAAGGTCTGTCAAGATAATTTGCATTTCAAAATATACCTATGTAACAATGTATGGTTCCTTCATTTGGCACCTCCCTTCCCTAGTACCAAATCCTACTCAGTCAGTTTAAAGATGGCACTACTTGGTCACACCATCAACACGCACGCCACAGCTGAAGTGACGGGTTCTAGGGGCGATCACGTAATGAGATTTCAAGCATTAACCCTTTAAAGGACAAGGTAAAATTGTTCTTGTACTTAATTAATAACCATGCCATGGTGACGTATGGGGGTGTGGACTTCGGCACTACATGGAGGCGAATGGTCAGCTTCACACCCCGGCCGTTCTTTACCCGGGGAAAAATCCCGCGGTATCCATTAAATGGGAGGCTGGTTGGGTCCCAGAGACAGTCTGGACGGTGTGGAATAAAGGAAAAATTCTAGCTCCTATGGGAAACCAAACCAATGCCGTCTAGCCCATAGCACGCCGCTATACCGACTCAGCTATCCCGGCTCATCGCCTTTAAAGGGACGTCTTTCTTTGTTCTTAGAGTTGGAAAACACTATGTCCCTTGACACTTAGGTGGTAAATTGTCCATTGTGCCAATCCCGGGTGAGAGATAACAGAAGCAGTGGAAGGAGAATTGGCAGGGGAACCGAAATGTTCGGAGAAAACTTGCCCCACTGCTACTTTGTTCACATCACATACCACGTGAGGGAGTCTGGCATTGAAGCCGTGACGATGCGGTGAAAATCCAGCGACTAACCACAAAAGCTATAGCATGGCCAATCACAGTGGTCTTTATTCGTATGTACCACTTGCTTTATTACGAAAGAAACTCTACATTTCACAGAGAGAGAGTATTTGTTTTTCATACGATTCTCAAAATGAATACTTATTTTTTCCCTAAACAGTATTAACCACTGCGTTTGTAATAGTGATGCAGTGGGATTTTCCGTTCAGTAGAAACTCTATTTTTAGATATTATTTACACGAGTTGCAGGCTTCAAGGTACTGAAGTAAAGGTTAAAATCTGTACGTAGTAGATGGAGGAAATTGGTGGACATCGATTCGTTCCTTAAATTGTAGACCTGTACAACTGACTAGTCTCAGGCGAAACACTTTGAATTCTTTCATTTTAAACAAAAATCTTGATTTTCTGGGCGAACGTTTTTATTTATTGGAAAATGGAAATGAACTTTCCTCTTTTCTCATTAATGAGTCAAAATCCGATAGAGCTTCCAAGGTTCTAGCTCTGTCATTTGTGAACTGAATGAACAATGCATTACCTCCAAAGCATCTTACGTTCTCTGAACAATGAAAACCTTTTCTCTTCTAGAACCCATATAGGATCTACAGAACACATCTGAACAGTTTAAAAATCTACTTAGCGCATCTGACAAAACTAATTTTCTTCTACAGGCTGTTTCTTGAAAATACGTATAATACATTTAGAAAGCCATTCAATTTTAGGTCGCACACCGCATATGCTACTGTGTAATACGCCGTATTCGAGAATGCCAAACATCGGAGCCAGTTGAAACCTATCCAAGCTTTCAGAGCCTATTATCCTCCCAGCCATGCCTAATACACGCACATGGGCTGTTCTGTGGCGCTATAAATAAAATTATGCATGAATCTCAATTCTCGTAGGCATACATCTGAATGACTAATTTAATGTCTACTTTGAAGTTAATGTTCTACAGAATAATCATATGCATAGTGGCTTACAATCGACAATAATGTTTAGGAATAGCAAATAACTTCGTGTCTCTCTAGATAATTTATCAAGTGTTGATTAAAGCAGGCGGGGTTAAAGGGGGGCGGGGCTCCGTTAAAATAATTAAACTGTAAATAAAGCAGCCAAACTGCATCCGATTTAATCCTGTACTAGTGCGCTCCTCACTGGCCCATTTGGTGAATGTGTCATGATATTTCGATATTGCTGTCCGCTCATTGGCTGCGACAACAACTCCAGAGGCTCAGCTCTTTAACGCATACATCGTCGCAGACTGGAACCACATAAAGCAGTAGACTGTCATTCACAGTATAGTTAAATTTAGCAATTTGAAAAGCTAGAATCATTATACAGTGCTTCAATTTTAATACGAATTTGAGACTAGTTAGTCTCTCTATAATACCGTAATGTTTTAAGCATACATTTTTTCAAAGACGTGCAATTTACATTCTTTCAAAGTCAGATATCAGGTTTCAAACCCATTCAAGAGAAGTAGAAAATTGCTGTCTTGTACCTTCAGTGATTTGTGAAGAGTTGATGGCAAATATTTTTGATTTGGATAATATTTTCTGAAATAATAATATATTTTAATTTCGTTGCGGAATCCATTTGTATTTCTTAACGTTGTTCGTTTTCTAATATTTGAATTCTGAAATATTTTAAAACGTCATATTTCATATTACTTTATGACGTTGGTTTCAAAATTTGTTTTTACGGCTAAATATCTCATGTAGGGTAAGTAACTGGAATTATGTGAACAGTCAACATTACGCTCCGGCCATATTAGTCCACTGAGAAAATACCCCGCATCCGATGGCTAGAAAACTGTGTAAAACACAAGAATTGATTACACACTATGAGTAGCAGAAAAATTCATACCTCGACCGGAAATTGGGTCTCGAACGCCATTACGCAGCACACACACACACACACACACACACACACACACACACACACACACATTACTCTGTCCTCATCTGTAGTACCTGCAAGTAAAACATGGAAATTACAAAGGTTTGACAACACTGTCCTCATGGGAGAATGGAGAAGATCAATACTGGTCCCTAATCTGTATTCCGAGCCCATTCACTGCTCAGTGCTCAAGTGAAACAATTAAGAGGGACAAGAGGGACAGGCGCATGTAGTACGGGGACACAGAACAAACAAAACGTTGTAACAGACTTGCACAAAATGACAGGAATATATAGTAACTTTTACTAACATAACCGCGTTGCTAAATACAGAATACTGCGTCAGAAACAAAGAAATAATATTCGTGAGCTGCTTCAGATCCAAATAAGAAATTAGACACGTTTAAATTTGATATTATTATTATTATTATTATTATTATTATTATTATTTCCATTTTAAAACGGTAAAATTGGTCGTACATTCACAAACCAATTTCGCAGCTTCATGTCGTACAAATTTTCTTCCTTTCATGTCATTCATTATGGTGCGTTTGCAATGGAAGTTACAAAAATGAGTTCATTAGCTCCTCCATGCCTGTCCCTCCATGTGTAACAACATAAAATCCACACGATAGACGTCATGTTTTTTTATTGCAGAGTTTAATTACAACTTGCTGGCCATTTGCAAATTAAGTTGAACTCTTAACAAAAATAGCGGACACTTTACATGATCTGTGTGCATTTCGAGTGTAACTCGCTAATTATTTTTTGTAGTATAAAATGCTTCCAGCGATCGTTTTACAAAAATGCAACACATACCTTATATTCAGTATACTTTTCCGTAGGTATCGTGGTTATAGAAATGTGTAAACAAACTGAGCTAAGCTCCACAAATTTTGAGTTATAAATACATTTCCTAACTCGAATCTTCTACAACCAACAATCGGTAGCTACCTTGCGAACATCTGCCAAGTTTTCCGAACATTTAAAAAAAAAACGGCTCACCGAATACAACCGAAGATTACCGAAGTGGCTTCTTCTTAATGATATAATAAAGTTCCTGTCAAAATGAATTTATAAACCCACAATGTAAATTAATATGTATTTAATTAAAATATAAGTTCATAACAGCATAAATACAAGTACAATTGGGGGATTATTGAAATATATAACCGAGCAAGGATATTAGAATTCCATTTACAATCCGTTTGCTGAGCACCTCTGTTAAGCTTACAATTTTACAATCTTGTTTTGCAGAACTTCGGCTGTGAAATTGCTTTCATGTCATTGTATAATGTGCAGCATAAATAAATTAAAATGTCTTGATGGTTTTTATAATGCAGTGTGAATGTGTTATTAATCACCTAACTATACAACATGAAATTCATTTTAAGCTCTGTAATACTGAAATGACAGATTGCTGAGTTGTTGTGGTTCCAGGCTGGGCTGGTTCCGAATCTGTATGCTGGCCGTTCGTTTGCATGTGTCTCGTCACGTGACTAACAAACGGTTGTTTCCCTTTTTGTTGTGTCTTGCTATAGGACGAGAAGAATCAACTCCTAATAACAAATATTTGGCTTTCGTTGGTAAGTGTTTAACAGCTGATTCAGTTAAAAACACACACGGCAGATATTTCAGTTCCTCTAACATCTATATATTTATACATAACATTATAATATTCATGTATTTATGCATTTTAGTAGACGCTGTAAAAATATGTGTATATTTCTTATTGTTCCTGTTTGCAGTTTCACGTGCTAATTTCCTGAAAGTCCCATGGCAATGTTATTTACATGCTCGTAGATTAGACAGAAATTTAGTATTTTATATAAATCCATTAAGCGTCACGCTTGGAGTTTTTTCCTCTGTGGGTGTAAGTCCTCATTAAAAGCACACACATTTAACTCACCCTAACCCAGTTACTACATATAATACAGAAAACCTCCCATTTTTTCAAAATAACACAGTCACTGAACAGCTGTTGCCTCTAAGAATAATAGTACGCATCGGTCTATATAAGTAACTTCTACGAACCTGATTATCATTCCTAATAATTGTCATGTCAGGATGAAGTCAAGGAGGATGAGGTGGGCAGGGCATGGAGCACGAATGGGGGAGAGTAGAAATACATATAGGATATTGATGGGAAAGCCGGAAGGAAGGAACCACTGGGAAGACCAAGGCGTAGGTGGGTGGACAATATTAAAATAGATCTCAGAGAGATAGGAAGGGATGATATGGATCGGATTGGTCTGGCTCAGGATAGGGACTATTGGAGGGCTCTTGTGAGCATTTTAATGAACCTCCAGTTTCCATAAAATGCTGGGAAGTTCTTGAGTAGTTGCACAATTGGCTGCTTCTCAAGAAGGCTCAGCGCCATGAGTGAATGGGTGAGTGTCATGTCAGGATATAAGAATTGTAAGTAGGGCATATTTCAAGAAAGGGTTTAGAAAATCCTTTTGCTAAACAGAGCGACAATTGTATATTCCTAATCTGAATAAGCCTAAACACACTTAAATCTGTTTCGCGTGGCGGCCTTGTTAATGTCGTAATTTCATACACTGACCATATTAACAGAGAAAATGTCTAAGAAGCAATGCTCCATTTTCATCCACCAGTTAAAGTCATTTGACTGACAAGGCTTAAAATGAGAAGCAGAGAAAGCCAGGTGAGGGTGCAGACCGAGTTAAGGAGACAGCATTCATTCGAAAGGGAAATGGAATGGAAATGCACACAGGTTCTGGGTTATGCAGAGAACAGTGCTACTACCTCCAGGTCCTTGTCAGGTACCACTCGTATACACGATAAACTGGCTATAGAAGCAAAAGAGATGGGCTCAGGACTCAACACAAATAAAACAAAATTACCGCTCAGAATCAAGGGCGGCTAAGAAAATCCATAGCACAATCTTGATGGTGGAGACAATAGAGGCTGTTAAGGACCTGGTACTACATCTGGGGTCGAACTAAAGTACAAATGCCGACGAGGAGAATGAGATCCAAAGAAGAATTCATCGGACAAATAGATTGTATTCTTCACTGCCAGCCATCGTGAGATCTGGAGTAATATATGGTCAAACAAAGACAAGGCTGTATGCGATGGCGATAAGACCGTTGTTAAGGTACGCAAGTGACGCTGCTCTATCGCAAGAAAGTCAGAATCAGCCTCGTACGCGTATGCATCTGAAAGGGAAGTACTGAGAAGAAATTTGGCCCAATGAAAAGAAAACAATTCATGGGGAATTAGATATAATAATTTGTTACATTAGTTATCTGAAGAATCAAGTACGTCAAATATTATTAAATTAGAGAGACTACAAAGGCAGGACACTGCTGCGTATGGACAGAAAACGCTCACCGAAAAAGATTCTGGAAAACAACATTATTGGAAAGAGGCCTGTAGGAAAACAAAGGAGATGTGAATTACTGCAGTGAACAAAGAGAGCAGAGGGACTCTGAGAGTGAGGAACTAGGAAAGAGAATCTCTAGACAAGCAAGTTCGCAGGCGTCATTTAAAGGAGGCCAATGCTCGACTTCGGGCTGTCGCGCCATAAGAGGAGAAGATGGGGGAGGATCAATATCATATTTTCAGTTTTTCTGAACAAACAGAAACCAATCGAAACATCATCAGACTTCGAAGCAAGAAGTTTCCACACCCTGAAATGCGATGCTATGCTGCAATGAAATGGCGCAATATGTGGAAACAGATGTAAACTAAACTATCATCATGATTAAGAAACGAAGTCTGATTCTGTATCAGGTTAATTGGTTTATTAACGGGAGGGTAAACAGAAACAGAACTAAAACTGAATAAACCTTCAAAACATGTCAAAATTTTCAATGTACATAATAATCTCCATTTATAACAAGGCTTCTGTACTGAGCACATGTACATGTATGTCAGAGAATTCATGTCCTGACGTTACTGGTTTGTTCCTATCTGGCTGCTACTTTGAAGTTCGCTCCATATTTCTGCAGCTTCCACTAATTCTTCTACCGTTAGAAATGATACTTTTTTCTAGTCTAAAAATCTAATGCTATATGCATAACTATTCTGATCATTCTCCATTCCTCTGTAGCTCCAAGGTAGATTGTTAATTCATATCTCCTCTATTCGCGCGGTGGGGATTCACTTACACTACAACCGTCAGTAACTTATTGTGACGTGCTGCCTGAAAGCTGGACTGTAGGACACCCATCGCTGCGCAACGGGCAATGAGAAGGCATGCTACCTAGGAAATTGCATACGGGTCATTCCATGTGAAATCATCCAGAAAGGTCGCTCACCATTTTTAAAAAAAATNTTAAACCCTTCGACAAGGTGTTCCCTATTCAGCCCGAATGCAGAATATAACAGTCCAACTTCGAAAAGAGACTAGGTAGTTCGTATCCGACAACAGACCAGCAGAGTTCGTATTCGACGAGAACTAAGGGCAGTTGAGCTCCGAGCAGAGCAGAAGACACTTAACCGAGATTAGCGTGCGAGAGTGTATTACATTGAAGAGGAAACGTCCGAAGACGTTATAAGTGCGAATAAATTGTATTTGTGAGTGTACAGAGTGATGGTCCAGTGAACATACACGTCAAAATCGGAGACCCACACAATTTCATGTCGTGTTGCCTAGGAAACACTGAACAGTATTAATTTCTAATATTTTAGAAACGCGGATGATATTGTGGAATCCATTTGTTTTGACCGAGTATGTAAATGTTAATCTAATGAAAAGTCAGGCCATCATTCTTCGGTCCTTTGTGTATTAGGCATACACGTATGTATATATTATATTCTCTGGCATGCATTTTATAATAATTTTCCGCTTCTTTGTGTTCGTGACATTACTGGAGGACGAGACACAAAGGCATGAAGAATAATAGGAGACAAGAAAAAATAATCCTGAGACAACTCAGTCATTATACAGGCTTAGAATGTAAAATGGAAGAAACAGATTATGTAGGCTATACAAAAGAAAATAAATACAAGATACTTACTTCCACCGTATCATATTTGTAAAACCACTCGGAAGGAAATAAGCAAACTTATTAAGTTCTCAACCTTGAATAGATTATATATCGTGTTATTTTTCCCAGGAATTTGGCTTTCCTTATATTCCAGTTACCCACTTCCATTTTTCCATGAAGCAGGTACCATTTCAGTTCGTTCAGGCGCCCATTTTAACCTGCTTTCCTTATTTCATTTCATCAGTAATCTGTCACACGACAGGTCCACAGTCTCTTCCAAAACAGTTCCTCCATTTAATGCGATCTAGAGCTTTCTCCTTCAAATAAAAATAGCCTCTTCTATCCCCAAGTTCATCCAGCATCTTCTTACGTCTTTTTCCTCGTCTTCTGGTCGCATACATGGTATCTCTGTTTTTGGAAAGAGACTATCCAGGAAAAGTGATAATGTGGTAGTTTTTCNATGTAAAATGGAAGAAACAGATTATGTAGGCTATACAAAAGAAAATAAATACAAGATACTTACTTCCACCGTATCATATTTGTAAAACCACTCGGAAGGAAATAAGCAAACTTATTAAGTTCTCAACCTTGAATAGATTATATATCGTGTTATTTTTTCCAGGAATTTGGCTTTCCTTATATTCCAGTTACCCACTTCCATTTTTCCATGAAGCAGGTACCATTTCAGTTCGTTCAGGCGCCCATTTTAACCTGCTTTCCTTATATTGAGAAAAATTAAGTAGGCTTAAGAAATCGCCTTCCTGCCTGTGTGTGTGTTTGCGTGTCTGTCTGTACACTATCCCCATATAAACATCTGAATGCCAGAACCTGTCTCTTGAAACTTGGTGCGTATATCATGGCACCTAACCCCACCTCAACGGCATAAGTCATAAATCTGTCATCAGTATAATCAACATTACAGCCTCTCAAATTTCAGAGGCTAAACCTTAATACTGCTTGAATGTCTGCATCAGTACCCACGAAACGTGGTATATGCATCATAAACAAAAAACCGTGGCCTGCAGTCAGCAAGCGAACTATACCGACTGAGCGACAGCCGCTTGTCGGCGAAATTAGTGCCAACTTTTGCTGATAGAGGGTGTCATGTTGTCAGCGCAACGGATCCCCATGGACGTTAATCTCGGTTTACTGGACCGGAGGTATATGCGTCATACCACGTGACACCATCTCAGTGCCATACTCCACAAGTTCCTCCGATGAGCATTACCAATATTAAAACCTCTGAGCTTTCTGAGGCGCGAAATATTAATCTTGCTTGAACGTCTAAATCAATCTTAATGAAACCTGGTGTGTATACGTATATCATGCCACATGAAGCCATCTCAATGACACATATCATCATCATCAGCAGCATCATCATCAGTAATCTGTCAGACGACAGGTCCACAGGCTCTTCCAAAACAATTCCTCCACTTAATGCGATCTAGAGCTTTCTCCTTCAAATGACAGTATCCTCTTCTGTCCCCAAGGTCATCCAGCATCTTCTTACGTCTTCTTCCTCGTCTTCTTGTCACTTCTATCGGCCCCTCTATCTTTCCTTCAATAACTTCTTTTAGAAGGCAGTTTCTGAGTAAAACTGACAGATATAATGAATCAATTTGATTAGT